CAAATGAACGCTTGGAGCAAAACTGGGGCATGTGGTTCTCTTTTAATAATTACTGTGTAACATCAGCATTATAAATGAGATCTCTCTTGCTGGAAGACAAGACAGTAATTGGGGTTTTGACTAAATTACTTGCTGCCCAGAATAAAGCATCAGACAGAAGGGATAATAATGATCTCTGTTAATTATGTGTCTGATCCCAGGAGAGACTGGTCTATGACGGATAAGTAGAATTAGCATAAATTGAAATATGTGTATAGATTGTTTCTACGGACGTATGCTGTTATCAACTGCTGTCATAAATTTTAATAGTTAAATCCTTAACTATTTCTGCTGCTAGATTGTTTTCAATGTCCAAAGATTCCTTGATTCCAATTTTAGACCCCAATTTCATTGAAACTGAAACCCATTTTAGCCTAACATACAAACTAAAACCAAAAAAAAGATTATGATTAAGTAGAGCATTTAAAAAAAAAAAAAACTTAGGACAACTTGTACAATTTGGGTTTACGGTATATGTGGGATCGTTGAGTAGTTGGAATACTACATCTAAACCCTGTTAAAGTTTTTCTCATCTGACCCGTGATGAAAAGATTAAGAGTGTTCAGGAACAGCTCAGGAACCAACAAGGCTCAGGCCCATCATAAACTTCAACATGCTGGAAAACTCCCATTACCACATGTAAAGTCTGGGCTTTTTTCAAACCTGAGGACACAGTAACCAAATGTCAAGCCTGCTGGCGGAAACATGGGGGTCATTTTTGCCTGTGGCAGAGATGCTCTGAACAAAGAGGGTAGAGCAAAACAATAACAAAAAGGAGCTACTCCAAATTTGACAACTTCAAATTATATCAACAGCCAGATGGTTGAAACTTGGACTTGATTCAAAACAGAAATCAGAATTGGTTTTGGAAAAAGGATAAAGCAGGCGAACTTTAAGCTTTTGAAACAGTTCTCAACTTTAATCCGATTGAAATTTTTAAGACTTAGTTTGCTTCGGTGCTAAGACACATTTAAATGAAGTGTATCATAGGTTCTGTCACTGAGATTGGCCACCACCAGTTTAAAAAAACATTTAAAAAAAAAAAAACATTTTCTTCTGTTGTTTTTTATTTATTTGTTTACACTCCTTGAACTTTTCAGTGCTGTTAAAATTGATTTCAGATATGTATTTCGAAAGGCTTTCACAGAGGAACAATTTAACACAACTGGTGACAGCAGCCCAAACTCCCTGTCTATGCAGACAGCTGACATTCAAAATAAATACATATTTGTAATATAGCAGAGTATACTGAATCAAAGTGTCTAATATCAGAATACAACACAGAAGTAAAGTGTTCTTTCAGTCTTTATTTATTTGGCAAGCAACACAATCAACTTTGTGAACCCAGTTAATTTAGTTGGAGGTCATGACCTGAAAAAACAAAAGACAAACATTATTTTATCCTGTTCTATAGCAGAACATTGTGACAGATGTCTGTCCTTCATAAGATCTTTTAATATAATTAAATTACAGTTTTTTTTTTTGTTTTTTTTTCTCAGCGTTTTATTATTTTGTAACAATTTCAAACATTCTAACAAGAGACACACAGATAATCAGATTATGGGAATCTTAAGAAAAATTTGAAAAGCGAAAAATAAAAGAATTCCTTATCCTTACTAAATGTTTCTACTTACAGTGTTGATCCAGCTGATGTAGGCACTGACTCTAGTGAAGACAGAGGGCTTCTTGGGGTAGTTGCAGCCCAAGCTTGAGCCAAAGCTCACTATTCCATGGACATCCCAAGAGCCATCAGAGTTCCTGCAGTTCAGGGGACCGCCGGAGTCTCCCTGGAGGACAGATGGGACAATGTAACTCTAGACAATATGGTATAAACAGACTTAAATGGAAGAGGTAAGGATAGTTTATTCGTCAAATGAAACTTTATCAAATAAATGTAGTCTGGCTTACGTTGCAGCTAGCCAATTCACCATCGCCTCCAGCACAAATCATGCTAGTGGTGACCAGAGAGCCCCACCAGTCAGATCTGCTGCAGGTGGAGTGACCGACCACAGGGAGGAGGGCCTGCTGCAGGATGTCAGCGATGGGCCCTCCAGCTTTATTCAAAACAAATATGACATTTAAATTAACATCTGAAGTTCAGAAGAACATCTTCATGAATAACTTGACTTTTTTTTAATTTTTTTTTTTTAGTTTTGATCATGTATAGGTAAGCCACATTTAGGCTTATAATTATGGTCTGTGAAACCAATCTTAAAAAAATAAGACATGAATTATGGGTTTCTTCTCAAATATAGCATCAACCATAAAACACAAGGCTAAGATGGACTGTTTGTCTTTCTTTTGTGGCTGGAGGACTTACTCCAGAGACGTCCCCAGCCAGTGACGTAGCAGGGAGCCTGGTCGGGCAGAATTTCCCCAGAGCTGGGGAGGCAGGCGGGGGTGATGGAAGCTGAGATTTGGACAGGAGATGCCAGCTTGATCAAGGCAATGTCGTTACTGAACCGTGAGATGTGGATAAAAACAGAAAGAAAAAAAATCAGAAACAGATCAGTGTGGAAAACTAAGTCAATGCAGGTACATCATCATGACACCCAGCATGCCATGGGTTCTCTCTGGGAAATTTGCTCCCCACCGGATATTGTAAGAGTCCCAGTTGGGGTGGACAATGATCTTCTCAGGGCTGATGGCAATGGAACCACCCTCACTGACGGTCAGGTCATGTTTTCCCAGGTAGACTCTGTAGGTGCGGCTCCTGTTTAACCAAAGAAAAAAAAGAAATACAGAAAAAAATAAAATGCAATTCAAGGACATTTACAGAGGCACTAAAGTTATCAACAAAAGAAAACAATTATATTATATTATATTATATTATATTATATTATATTATATTATATTATATTATATTATATTATAGTAGGTCATTTAAATAAATTGAATTGAAGACTGGCATGAAGTGCAAAAATGTCAATTTATTTTTCTTTTGGGGAGGGAAAGAAGGTTTTTGGGGGGCAAGAGTAGGATGTGGTGTGAACCCCTGCTCATGTGTGTCATGGTTTAGTTACTGGGATTTCAAAGCTTACTAGCCACAAAAATATAATTAAAATTTGGTATTATTTCAAATAGCAATATTTTTACAGGGCTTTTTGGGGTAAAGCTGGCATGCTTCTATGCTTTAGGATTTCAAGGAAGCCTGTTGAGTGTCAAAAAATTAACAAGGTAATTCAAAGAGGATTATGTTTTTTTTTTATTCTGTTACATTTGTAATCCAATTTATTACTTTTTCTATTATCATCAGACTGGATTTCAGTGTAAGATTTGGAAATTATAATTTTTGTTCTAATTCACTTAACTGAGAGTTTAAAACTCATAATAGTAATTATTATTATTATAATCATTATTATTATTTTTTTATTTGTTTATTTTACCCGATGCAGTGAGCAGCAGTGAGGACCCACAGGTTGGAGATCAGAGTGCCACCACAAGTGTGGTAGAAATAGCTACCACTCTGGTACTGCAAAGACACCTGAGGAGAGATAACAACAAGCACACACACGTCATGATTTGATGAAAACACTCAAATCTGTAATCTAATAAGAGGGGGACATACCTGCCAGGGCCAGCTGTTCTGACGGACATCGACTCCGCCGACCACCCTGGAAAGGATAGGGGGGTAGGTGGGCAGGCCACAGCCGTAGGCTAAAAGAAAACAGTACAAACAGTTTTTATTCTTACAATTTCCTATGTTAATCAATGCAAAGTTGCTATTTCGTCCTTGTGTTTAAGATGAAACAAATAATTCTTATTTTTTTCTTTTTTTTTTTATATTAGTGAAGAGCCTTTAGCTTACCACCGGCAACGAACAAAGCCAAGATCACAAACTTCATTGTGACTGTCAGTGAGTTTTATGCCGACTTTCAGCTCTTTATATACGATATCACTGTGACCATATCAGACATATTGTGAATAATTTTCCGAACCACCGCAAGGAAAACTGGGCTGGAAAAACAAATTTACCCTTGGAGATAAGAGTGGAGATAAATGGACGATATCTGTCGTGTGACCGCTATCTGTGTGAGAAAAATACAGATGCCTCCTGATCTTGTCAGCTTCTTTTTAGTGGCTGAGAAAATATTTTTATCTGAGCATATTTATTAAAATTTAGAGGGTTTAACTCATCATTTTTAATATGCATATATATTACAATCACTAACACATTTGACTTGAATTGTATGTTACTGCACAAAATTGTGTGAAATTCTGAAATGGAAAACAGATAAATGGATTTCATACATTTTTATCAGTAAAAATCTGTCAATTTGACCACACATTTGTGTATCCCAATTTAGAACAAGTTAAATTTTTGTATAGTTTTTATAGGATGGAAAACCTTTAATAGATGCTCACAGAAGAAAGTAACCTCCGTAATTGAAAAACGTATGACAGTCATTACACCTGACACATTTTGAGCTTAATGTAAGGTAAGTCGACAATCAGTGAAATTCAGAAAATGGTCACTCGCTTATGAATATGTCATTCCAGTGTTTCTGGCGTCTCTGATAGAAGTAGATGTGTGACATGTTCAACAAACAAAAAAAAGAGACTTCATCTACAGAACACGTTGACCTTGCAGTCGTGTTTCACATCTGCTTGTTCGCATAATCACCTGGAGTTGGCGTGTCCACCTGTAGCTCCACCCTTTCTGTTAAAATTTCTCATGGGGTAATTTTCCAGGAAATAGAACCAGATTTAGCAGGTTGCATAAGAAAGGTGGTGGGAGTTATAAATATCTCAGAAGCTAACTTTGAACTGTGAAGATACTGACACAATGAAGTTTGTGGTGCTTGCTTTGCTCGTTGCCGGCGGTAAGTCGGATTTTGCTGCCAAGAACAACTTACAAAAGTCATCTTTCTATTCCCCTCTGTTCATTTGATGAACCATGTTTACCTAGAACATGTAAGTTTAAACATAGCTGATTAAATCACAAACTTTTAACATGGTTCCTTTATTTCAGCCTATGGGTGCGGCAATCCCACCTTCCAGCCCGTGGTGAGCAGAGTGGTTAACGGAGAGGACGTCAGGCCTCACAGCTGGCCGTGGCAGGTAGGAAGAATACGAAGTGTTTGAAATCTACAAAGCAACTTTTAAAATAAAAGCAATTAAAATGATTGTGCAAGTAAATATTTGGAGGCTGAGAGAAGACAATATGAAAGTAAAAGTTATGTTGATACACAATTCCCTTAATGTATGTGATCCATGTAATGTTGAAAAAGTTCAGCAAATGAAAAGGAAGTCTGGCTACAATTTGCATCTATTACTTCACAGTAAAAAAGAATTTCCTCAGTAAATGAAATTGAAACAATAATAACTATCTTAATTAATCTTGAAGATAATATTTGGTAATCTCACATATTTTTCCAGATTTCCCTGCAGTACAACAGTAACGGTGAGTGGAGACACACTTGCGGAGGCACTCTGATCTCTAGCCAGTGGGTCCTCACTGCTGCTCACTGCATCAGGTAGGAGACTGTCACCAAACACTATTACAAAGACTCAAGAGTTCCATATAAAAATATTTGTTTTAGCACGTTGCTTCCAAAAGGTTTTTGTATGTGAGCTTCAGATCTCAACCACTTCTGATTTTTCCCTTTCTTAGCTCAGGCCGGCAGTACAGAGTGGCCTTGGGAAAGCACAACCTGCTGGAGGATGAGAACGGCTCTCTTTTCCTGGGCACTGCCACCATCGTTGTGCATGAGAACTGGAACTCGTACTTCATCCGGTAAATATCCCGGTTTAAACCACATTTGTGAAGAATGCAGCAGTACGAGTTCTGATAAAGCCTGATGTCCCTCTGTCTTCCACAGTAATGACATTGCCCTGATCAAGCTGGAGGCCTCAGTTGAATTCTCTGACACCGTACATCCTGCTTGTCTTCCTGCTGATGGCTTCATCCTCCCTCATAATGCACCCTGCTATGTGACCGGGTGGGGTCGTCTGTACAGTGAGTTATATTTGTTTCATGTTCTGGGTGAAAACACCCATAAAATATAAAGTTATGTCCTGCTGTATGTGACGTGTCTATACTGCCAACCTGTGGTCATTCTATGTAAATGCTACCATGCAGAAGATGCATGTTGTGATTTATAAATGTGACTTGATTATTTTATACTTTCAGTGTTTTGATATTTTAAGCAAAAACACACATTTTCAAAACAAGATATTGTGTCTCCATTTTAATAAATTTTGGATCTTGCTTTGGTCCTTATTGACTGGAATCTGCTGATGAAGCTTTACTGACTGATTGGAAAATTTGTAATTTTGATTGGATTAAGTTTTTCAAACAGATGATTTATGTGTCATTTAGAAACTTAAAATATAAAATATCAGTGGCAACGGTGGTTTTCGAAAAGCCTTTTGCTGACACAGACATGTCTCTCTCATGAGCACAGCCGGAGGTCCCATCGCTGACATCCTGCAGCAGGCTCTGCTGCCCGTTGTGGACCACGCCACCTGCAGTCAGTACGACTGGTGGGGCTCCCAGGTCACACAAACCATGGTCTGCGCTGGTGGAGATGGAGTTGTTTCTGGATGCAATGTGAGTCCTAACCACAACAACTTTCAGTTGTTTTTTCCTCCATCTATAAGGATTGAGTCTTCCTTTGGATATCTATGGATGACTCTGTAGATATTTAGAAATATGAAAGTCTTTCTTATTATGTTTTGTTGGTGAAATGTCTGTCTGAAATGAATTATCAGTATTGTTATCAAAATGTGCCATTTTTTGTTCATCTTGAAAGTAAAAAGAATGTTTACTTTCAAGGAATAGAAGATCTGCTCAATTATACAAAGTGATTTATCTATTCCTGAAACACATCTTGCAGCTTTGTACGCCAGGTATTACATTTTATTCTGCTGGATTTTGATAGATGATTTGTTTTTTGTTTGTGTGGCACTGTTAGGGAGACTCTGGCGGTCCTCTGAACTGTCAGGGCTCTGACGGATCCTGGGAGGTTCATGGTATTGTCAGCTTTGGCTCTGGGCTCAGCTGCAATTACTACAAGAAGCCCACCGTCTTTACTCAAGTCACCTCTTTCCTGGACTGGATCAACACTGTAAGCTTCTGAAACTGCGACTAAACCGCTGGGTGTGAAGTTCAAATTATTGATGTCATAAAAACCTGCATATCTTCATGATTTCTTTCACAGACGATAGTGGCCAACTGATCGAGCACCATTTTGGGACCACGGCTATCACACGAGCCCCGCAAAATAAAACCTTCTCACATGCTCTACGTGTTGTGTCATGTTGATTTTATTGCTCACAGACCAAAAATAAGATTTTAAAGTCTATTATTTGCATAAACAGGGAGACAGATATATTTAAGGACTTTTGTGATGCGATGCACTTCCCTGGTGTTGATTAGGATTCTGGCGGCAATGTTTAGGATTAGCTAGCCAGTTGATTTCCACCATCTTCTAATGATCTCTACACCATAACTATTATGAAATCTACTTAAGTAATTTCTGCTTTTTTCTGCATGTTTCCCAGTGCCTATCAAACATGAGCATAAAATTGCAGTTCATGATAGCCTTTTAACATCACTATTTACATTAAAGTGACAAAAAAGAAAAAAATCACTGTAACATAAATGTTACAGCTTGTTTGTCTTTGTCTTTCAGGGAGATTTGCAGCTTTTTCTACTATGTAAGTTCTGTAGATCTCAGGCATGTTGAGTCAGTTTTTCCTTAATGCGGTGAAGAAACTCTAGTTGAAAAAAAAAGCATAGTCATTGAGATAAGAATGGAGGTATCTTTCCATCTCCACTATCCCTGAATGAGAACCATGCAGATGACACAAGTTGGAGTCTTCAGAGAAAGATGTGAATGTTAAGATGTTTTAATTTTTAAAAGTGTTTTTACTGCATGTTTAAAATGTTAAAAAAATACATCATTTATTTAAATAAAAATTTTACTGAAAATTTTTTTTACTAATCTCCATCTACTGTGCAGAAATGTCCTTGTTGTATATAAACATTAAGGGTTTAAATTTGGATGAGAGAGACGAAAAAAATGGGACTCAAAGGAATGTAAAATTTTCTACCATGTAAGGACTAAAAAATATTTTGTGAAGTGATGTTTTGCAGAAATATGCACGGAAATTAAGGATCACAATAAAAGGGAAATATCAGTGTGCTGATCTCATCGCGTCGCATGTCATCAACTGTGTCTTTTATTACTAAAAAGTTTTATTTGGTTAAAGACTGAGACGTGTAGGAGGACTAGATTCGTCTGTCCATGTGGAGGCTATTTTTCTCACACCCACCTATTGAGATTCCATCAAATTGCAAAGTGCACAAATGGAAAAAGTGCACAAATGGAAAAACAGAGAACATGTTTCCTGGGTCACATATAATCATAATGGGCAAAAATAAGTCTGACCTTTCAACTCCAAACTGTGGAGGTACAGCCAGAATGAGCTCTGTGGTGCGTGCTCGGTGGTAAGCAGCACACAACTTATTCAACCTTTCTCTGCATGCATACTAAACGCTGTGTGTTTGCATGTGCAGTTTAAATGATTTCTTTCTGTCTTTGCGTGAACCCCTTCAGTCGTGAGTCCCACTATCCAGCCGAGTGTTTAATGGAGTGGATGTCATGCCCCACAGTTGGCCCTGACAGGTAAAATGAAAGCGCAAAATGTCACTCAGCAAAGCAGAATATACCTAAATGACTTGAAATAATATTAAAGGAATATTTGCGATTGAGTGTGTCAGAGAACAGAGGCAAGTTTATAGTGTCTGTAAAGCAGAAAGGCAAATATTAAATTATAAATTTTTATCTAAAAACAGAAAACTTAGAAAATAATTAAGATATATGGTTTGAAAAAAAAAACCTCACACACACATTCAATTTACTAAAAACAGAAGCAGTTAAAAGTGAATTAAATTACAGAAAAAGATTAAAATTTCATGCAGGATACACCATTATTATTATTATTATTATTATTATTATTATTATTATTATTATTATTATTATTATTATCATTATTTTAATTTAAAGTAACACTAACCAAACCATAAAACATCCGTACTTGTTTCAGGTTCCTTTGCAGTGCAAAGTTCACTGTGTGTGACAACATTCCAGTGGGGGGGAACTGTGATCTCTGAACAGTGGATCCTGACTGCTGCGCACTGTATCATGTAAAACAAAACAAAAACAAAAAAAAAAACAATAAAAAACAAGAGAAGGTCATGTCCACAAACTAACTGTGCCACTACTAATAATGCTGAGATAAAGTGGATTTAATTGGATTTCTGTTGCTTCTGACAAATAAAACTTGTAGCAAACACATGGAGTGCAGCGTGGCTCTGGGAAAGTACAGCCTGACCCAGATAGAGTCTGGCTCTGTGTTCTTTGTTATGCATGAGGAATGGGAACCTTTGACTCTTCAGTAAGTAAGCATATAGGCATACTGAAATCACTAGCTAAACAATGCTAAAAAAAAAAGTGTGTCATCTGCAGAAATGACATTGCCTTCTGCTGGTGCGGAAACTACATGTACATATATTGTTCAATAATTGAAACACACCTCATCTGCATAAGTGATGGGAAAATTTTATCACCAACCATCTGCCATGTTCTGAGTCTACAACATCTGTTTGACATTTTGCACGTTTCTCACAACAGCAACAGAACTAGTCAGCAGCGGTCGGTCTATGAGGGTGCAAATATATCACTATTTTTTAAATTTAACACTGTACACGCGTCATCAGTTATGAAAAGGCTGTTGGTTCTTGCTGTTGTCGTGGCTGGTGGTAAGAGACTAAATCTGTTTCAATAAGTTGCTTGTTGTTCTTGCCTTGACCGCCTTGTATTTGTCAATTAAATCCATTGGTCAAATTACAAGATAAATGCATTAAAATTGATGCCATTTGCTTTTTGTTGTGAAAATATTATACTGTTTCAAAAATATGATTAAGTATATCAGATTTTGTAAGTAGGAAATAGCATCATGTTGTTTCTGATTCAGCGTACGGATGTGGATTTCCCACCTTCCCCCCGTTTCTGAACCGGGTAGTTGCAGGAGAGGACGTCAGACCCCACAGCTGGCCCTGGCAGGTATTAGACCAGCTTTAAATGTGTTCTGCGTCCCGGGAGCAGCACAGTCTCACATTACCATTTTAAATAGTCAAGAAGAACTTGAAATTTTGATTTATTTTTACGTAATTCGTGTGTGACTTTTGCAAGTAGCGAATACATATTATATATATAAATATAAATATATTATATATATATATATATATATATATATATATATATATATATATATATATATATGTGTGTGTGTGTGTGTGTAATATATACATATAATATATATTATAACATATTGTATTTTAATATGTATAATATTATATTATATTTTATATTATGAATTATATAAATAATTCATAATATTTATATTATGAATTATTTATATTATAAAGTTTCAGTTTACTACATATATACATGTCTATATGTAGTAAACTGAAACTCCATTATTGTTTTGCTCTATGATGTTCTTGTCTGTGTGTTTCATAGATTATTTTCTTTCATTACAACCAAACTATCTACACACAGGCAGTGATTGCATAGTTACTTTGAAAAAGTAACTTTTATCAGATTACTGATTACTCTTTCAAATAGTAACTTAGATTACTGACTCCTTCATTTGGAAAGTAACAAAGTGACATAAACAGTAACTATTTTAGTTACTTTCAGCAGCTGCTAACAACAACAACGCTGTGAAAATCATACTGATCTTTGCCAATACTTAATAACAAGTTATTTTACAATTATTACATCAACAATGTGTCTCCAGTCATAACTGAAGGGAAGATTGTTTAATGGTCACCACAGTAACCACAGTAACCATAGTTACCACAGTAACCATTAAACAACATCAAAGGAAAACAAAAAAAACTTTTGTAATTTGTGCGTGTTTTTGTCTTTATACTGTCTGCAAGCGATCCATCCATTAGTCCGTCCGTCCATCCATTAGTCCGTCCGTCCATCCAGCCGGCCGTCCGTCTGTCCCTCCGCCCGTCCATCCGTCCGTCCGCGTCCATCCGTCCATCCGTCCGTCCGTCCATCCATCGTCTATCACTAATCCAAGTTCGGGTCTCGGGGGAAGCAGCTTATTAAGTATTGGCCTCGGGAGGCCCAGTCTTCTCTGTCCGCAAGTGAGGCATCCCGACCAGAGTCTCAAGTGGCTGTGAAGGAGCAGCGGCTCTAGTCTGGGTCCATCCCGGGTGACCGAGCTTCTCACCTGACTCTAAGGGAGAGCCCAGCCACCCTGCGGAGGAAACCCATTTCGGCCGCTTGTATCCGGGATCTCGTTCTTCCAAATGAGGGCGGGAACAGAGACCAACCCGTAAATGAAGAGCTTCGCTGTTTGGCTCAGCTCTCTCTTCACCACGGCGGACCGGTACAGCGCCGATCCGCCTGTCGATCTCCCGCTCCCTTCTTCCCTCATTAGTGAACAAGATCCAGAGATACTTGAACTCCTCCACTTGGGGCAGGACATCGGTCTCGACCCGGTAAAAGGCTCTCTACCCTTTTCCGGCTCGGGACCATGGCCTCGGATTTGGAGGCACTGATCCTCATCCTGGCCGAGAGCTGCTTCACCCCAGACCCGCTCTCTGGAAGAGACCCCGAACCAACAACGCTGAGGAGAGTTGGGCATGTTTTTGTCCAGATGGTTGTCCTTATTTTTTTTTATATATATTTTAAATTGTGGATTTTCAGCATTATTAAAATATCCACGAGGGAACCCAGTATCTTAATGTCCCCTGTTTATACATGGAGAGATAAACATGCCCAACTCTCCTCAGCATCGTTGGGTTTGTCTCCTCCGGCACCATGTCTTCTTCCTGCGTCTTTTCACTTTTCTGGATATTTGCTCCCTCTTTTCTTGATTTTATTTTCTCCATCTTTAATTTCAAGGTAACAATTTCTTTGTTTAGTTCCTCGTTTTCAGTTTCAAGCCAGCGGCGATCTCTTGTCTTGTTTTGTAATGCATTGTTGGCCTGTTGCCTGATCGACGCATTGGTTTTTTCCAGCCGCTGATTCTCGATTGCCATCTCTCGGTACTCTCTTTTTAATGTTTCAATTTTTGCTCTTGAATCCTCCAATTCTTCGGTCAATCCCAGGATCCGTTGTTCTCTTTCATCCTCTTTGTCTCTCAGCAATTGATTTTCTCTCACCAGGTTATTGATGGTGGAGTCTCTTTCAGTCAGATTTTGGAGTTTCAAGTTAAGATTCTCCAATCTTTTTTTGAGGAGGATATTTTCCTCCTCAAACTCCTCACACCGTCGCTCCAAGATCTCCACAGTTTCAAAACACAAATTCTTCTGCTCCATTGCTCTCCTGTTTTTCAAATGTCCTGAAATCGCAAATGAATTTCTCTGTCGAATCTTGGAATATAGAGACAGTCACCAATGACGTCACAGACAGGATGAGTGACATCACAGTTTGACATCAAAGCCACAAGAAGTCTGTTGCGAGCGGGGGCGAGGGATGTTATTTTTTTTTTTTTTACTTTATTCCCAGACACACTGAATAACGACAGAGTGAAACATTTTTTATGCCTCAAGAAAAACAAATTCAGATAAACAGTATTTCAGAAAAAGCTAAGGGCCTTCAGTTCCAACTATACATTCCAAGCAGTTCATATTTAAATTGTCTTTAAAGACACGTTTTGTCAGAGTCTTTGATAAAAAACTTAAATTCATTGTAAAATGCAGCAAGGCATGGCTTTCCCTACCTGGAACAATGAATATGATATTTAGCTGGTGACAAAGGATTTATGAGAAACTTAAAAAAAACAACAACTTTGCAGCATCATTCTCTAATACTTCCTGTCATCTTCTTTGTTATTTCTGCCAGTAGTAACATCCAGTTGTTGATCACGTGACACATGATGCGAAAAATGTGTTTCTGTTGTAGTTTTGTGAAATATACTGATTTATACAGTTAGAAAACCAACTCAACCCAACGCAAAAAATTAATCAAAAAACATGTTTTTTTTTCTAAATGATGTGTTTCCATTTGGTAGATTTTTTTTTGTTGTAGTTCCAATATGCACAATTATATGATCAATGGAAACACACCTGCATATTATTTACAAGAGCAATAGCAGGACATAATCAGTCAGTATGATTTGTATGCTATCTAAATCTGATTATCACCATAACCAGAAATGTTTGCATGAACAAACAAACCTTCTGCTTTCATTTTCTTGTGCAAGTAATTTTTGACACATTCTTGCATAATAATAGGAGATTTCAATACAACACTTACAAATTCAGATATTTCAGGAAATTTCACTTTTTCTGAAGATCCAAGCAGAGGTATACTTTTTGATATCATGGTAAATAATATTTTAATAGATATCTGGAGACTTTTCTTTCCAAATAAAAAACAATTTACCAGGAAACAGATTGTTCTGGGAAATCTTAAACAATCACGACTTGACTTGTGCCTGATGTCGTCTTCTCTTGTCCCCACTGAATTTAAGGCATCTGTTCATATCATTCCCGTTATTTCTGAGGTATCACTCCAGTCGAACAGCAGAGGGCGCTGGAGTCACGTCTGTGGAGGCACCCTCATCTCCCAAGAATGGGTCCTGACTGCTGCACACTGCATCAAGTAATTTCCAATGTAATGTAATGTGATGTAATGTAACGTAGAGAGAGAAATCTATGTGACACTTCAATCAATGTCTTATGTTTCTTTATTTTAGCTGTGCACCCAACACATAGACCAAAAGGTTATCATTTGCAGCCTCAAGCCTGAAAACCAGTAGCACCACCCTAACCACATTTTTAATTCATTTATTTGTGATGCTTTTTAATTTGTTCAGCATAGTTTAATGATGATGTTGGATGATAGATTTTTCTGTTGCCTTTCTGCCTCCGTTTATGTTTTGGGTTTTTGCTCAAATTCCTTCACAGTTACATACTGTAATTTTGTATTGTATGATAACCTTGAACTTTGAACCAAGATGACATTTGATACATTTGTTATAGATCTAATTGTGACATTTTGTAAATAACAGCAGAAAAATACAAGCCTTTTGTCTGGATGTTGAACCCTAAAAAATGACTAGCGGTCAAGGCATTTTTGGTAAACTAGCTTAATGAACATTGATTTCAGTAATTAGAGTTCACTATGTGAAGCACAGCATGCTATGGACAGAGGGTTTTCAAACCTTTATTTCTGATGATGACGTTCAACTTGCAGCTAATGAAAACACATTTAAGATCAGAATATTATGTCGGACCAAATAGAAAAACATTTTAAGAAGCATGGCTTAATGAAAGGCATTGTTAAAACCTGCTTTAAAGTTATTTGTCAAAAGGTACTTTTAATTGGACAAACCCATATCATTGAAATTCATATTGTATTTTGCTGAATATGACTTTAGATAAAAATCTGATCTTGTTCCAACAAAAAAAAAACAACAACAAAATTAAAGCTGCAAGCAGCCTCGAGCGGCCCTCGCAGCCAAGCGCCGCTCCGGCCTATTGCCACCGCAGGGTACTAGCAACCGCCGCCCGACGCCAGCCACCACAGATACTCTCAGCAGTTTTCAGCACCTCCGCCCGCACCGCGGAAACTGTTGCTCCGTTTCCATCAACGCTCCCACGTTCTAACACAGAAGTCGTTGCGCGGTTTCCGCGCCCGTCCACCAGGCGGTACGCATCGATGCGTTCGGCGGCACTTCCTGACGACGCACAAAAAATGTGGTGCAGATTCGTTGATATAGCGAGGAGATATAGCTGGCGTATTAATGTAGTTGGCGCAGTGGAGTCAAAATACATTTCAATGTTGTTGGGGTGTTTAGAGGTCAACGAAGGTCATACATATCCAATTTGGCGCCAGTCGGATGATCAACGTATCATTTAGAGTCATTTGGTATCATTTGGTGAAGAACTGCAGTTCGCCATTTCTACACCCCAATGCGGTTTGGTCAGCAGCCAGCATTCACAGAGTTCATCATCTTGTCGTTTTAAGTCAGTATTCACATGATGAAACCCATATATATGATAGAATAACAGTAAAACTCACAGGAGAAAAACTGGTGATTGCCTTTGAAAAGTGGGCGGGGCTAGGGTGATTTCATCAAGTGATCATGGAAATGTGTTCAGGACTGTTCTATAGAGAAACACAGGAAGTGTGATGCAGCTGTGATCTTGCATTTGGAAGTTTTTTAATGTTTATGTTTCATGGCAAATAGTGAAAGTTTTACACTAAGCCACACCCACATGCTTTGATGTTAACTGCAACTGAGATCTAAATGCAGTGCAACTTTAACATTTTCCTAAAATGAGTCAGGAAAATGGTAAAGGTTAAGATGTATCATTTTAATAAACCCTTCTGGTCAGTAACAAACCAAGGGCAATGCACATTCAGAGAGCACAGTTAACTTTCAGTACATTAGAACAAAAGCACAGGTTTAATCTCTCTCAATAATTAGGTATTAATCACAGCAAGTGGTCCAAGTAAATATTACAACCCCAATGTATCAGTCTTAAGAACTCAGAACGTTGTAAGATTGTCGCTCTCAACAATCGTAACCGATCATCCTGTAGTGTGTGGTGTGTACGACCGATCGGGTCCAGTCGGTGGAACATCGGGACCGCTTTGATCTAAAATCGGGGATATTGACTGTCTTTAATCATCTTTGCTCATTCATCCAATCTCTGTGGTGTTCCTCCGACTTTTTTTTTTATCTTTTAATGAAAGATAATTATAAAATTATTGCACAGAGTACATCTGGTTGAGAAGCACATTCCAATCTTTGGTTGAAATGGCGCATTTGATTTTATTCTGCAGTCATAATACAATTTTAAACAATATAATAAGTTTCAATGAAAGGAGCTGGAATAGGCTACGTTAAGCTTTCGCGGTCAGTTGGGGAGAAAGGATAACTCCCATTTGATTTTCTAAAAACATTGAAAACAGTATTTTTTATGAAAAAAAAACTCACCTCCATGTTGCGATGCAACAAATATAATCCTTGCTTACGATATCTCCAGTTCTTAATCCAAGGCTTTGATTTTTGGTTACGTCTTTTTTGGGTTAAATAAGTCCGCAAACTAAAGTTACCACTTCAACGTCGTTGTCCATGTTTGTTTGTTTACTCCAAATTCAGCTGTGGTAGTGCAGAATTTTAATTTGAAGGTATTTCGTAGCTGGTATTAGAATGTGTTCGAGTGAAACCTCACACTCTTAGAACGAACCCGTTACACCTACGATTTTAAATAGGCTAGTGTGTGTTCTCTCACGTTTTCAGAATTGGCCGACTTTTCTAAAATCGTGTAGTGTGAACTGAGCTTCACTCACCGCATCTCCAGTTACCACTTTTAAGACGAACGGCAATAAAACTCGTCTCCAACAGACAGTTCCGGCTCATGAGCGTCATTCGGGTCTGCAGCTCCAAAACCGAAGCAAACGTTAGCGTGGTCCGGTTCTGTGGCTCCATAAACCAGGCATAATGTTCAGGAAAACTTAGCTGCTCCAACAGTTTAGCAAAAAAAATGTACAGTCCACAGCGTAATGCGCCGAACCTCAACCATGTACGGTCTCCTGCCGACTGCCACTACTTACAGTAAGTATTAGCACAGCTACAGAACGTGCAGTCCTTCTCAACCAATCAAATTGCTTAAATTTGTTTTTGCCCTTGACTGGCCATTAAGGCAGAGACGAGGGAAATGATGCATTTACTTGCGGTAGGAAATAACAGTCATTAACAAAACGCTACATTTACTCCGTGTTTTAAGCCAACAAAAATTATCTTAGGGCTTACATATAACATTTCAGGTTAAATGTAATCGCTGTCCTTTTGGAAATCTCACGGCAGACGCGCTGGAAACGTTTTCACAGCCGTCCGAAAAAAAACCGAACTTGATTTGTTTTCTCATTGATGGAGTACCAGTGACTCCTGCTGGCGCAATAATGGTATTGCGCCAGCAGTATCAGTATTGCGCCACCAGGGGCCAGTCGTACTCCATCAACACTGACCAGAATGTGTTACTCAGCGGAGCTGAGTAACACAATAAAGGTTTTGCTGAATGACGATGTTTGTATTATTTCTAGCCAAAATTAATGAATGTTTGTACTCTAACCCACAAAACAAATTATTAAAAAAAATAAAACTTTAAAAATAAAATTGAGAGCCAAACGTATGGCAATGGCGTTACAGGTCACTTCGCCACGCCGCCACGCCCACCTGCTCCATCGAAGCTGGTCGGGGTTGGAATCCTCAATACACCAACATGTCTTCTGTGACTGGGCACAGTTTCATGTTGATGAGGTCAAAGGGGTCAGATAGCGACCATTGACAGTAAAACATGACACTTCCTGTTCTCAGGGG